ATCACTATAGGCCATATACTATACGTTATATTGTAACAGCAGAAGGCAAGACACTGAAGTAAACGCATATTTTCAACTGACCAAACCGCTATTTGTTTATATAGAGTTTATATTCTTTAACCAATCACTGAGTGTGTGATTTTGGTTTACATTAATCGGCATGAACTATAATGTTCAAATATGCATAGTATTCTGTTGCTAATGCAGTGTTAAACTGTGGGAATATGTGAGAATAATATTCCGTTGAAATTTACTGTCTGTATCACACCACAATATGAGCTGTTCTTCTCAATGTTTTCATAGTGCAACCTTTCTAAGCTAAAATTTCGTCTAATAGTACTTCTCATAAATCTAAGTTCCATCAAATTATTAAGTTCAGTAATCTGTATTTCGGATGTAACAGGGACAGTTATTCACTGTGTAAAAAGATATTACGGTATAATGTTCAGAAGTGTTTTTCATCGTACTCTTTAGCACAGTTTTCTGTATTGCATAACCTTGTGAGCTGGAGCTTTTTCAGGTATGATTTGAAGTCAGTATCACTTTCACTTGTTTCCTGCAGCATGAGATATAAACTACTGTATAGATATATAGTTTTGTGTATATTCTTTTCTCTTTGGAAAGTCTCTTACACTTATTTTTCGACTGTACTGACTTATAGATATCGTCAAGTTCATATAATCTTTTAAATCTCACCATTTTTGGTTAATATACTATGCTCAACATAACCGTACGGTATTCAGCTTCCGACGGACATCTCTGGCTAGATGTTAGGTTTGTAGGATCAATTGTAAGCGTTCAATGAATTTACCCCACCTTTTAAATTCATTCTGGTTTAATTATTCTGAATTCAGACCGTTAAAGTAACGTTTCTCAGTGTATTTTTTCCAACCGTGCATTAAATATAACTGTAGAATATGAGCTACCGTCAGTCTGTTTTGATAACTGTTTACTTTGCTTGGATACTGTTCTAAAATGTGAAGGTGGTTGTGAAAACCCTTTGTTATGACCACACATGATATTCCTCAGCTGTCAATTCCTTTTATTGCGTCTCAGTGAAAATTATTTCTAAGTATAATGGAAGCAAATGAAATTAAATAGGATTATAATAGATTTTTCTAAGTGGTTACAGTATAAATCCCGATTCTCAACCATAAACGCGTTGGTATTCATTAGTGGCTAACGAGTAAAACTTAAATGGATTTCACCATATCGCTCATGTATCCATAAAGTTCTCCCTGGGCATGGAAACATAAAATACCACGGTGAAACTATGGTAAACCAGTGGGAGAAATTTCTATGAAATGGCAACAAAATGTAACGTTTCTAATTTTCAACCAGATTTCATTGAACTTAATAGGTGCTGAAATTTGAACTGAAATATATTGTAATCTAAAATGTCTGTCTGTCTGTTTTCGACATAGAACTTTGCACACATGTGCGGCAGTTCAAGTAGCCACACTCCATTTAGCACACAAAGCAAGAGAAGAAATGCATATTAGAGACAGTAAAGAGAGGTGTGAGACAAAGTAGTAGTAATAACGAAGAAAGAAACAGCTTAACTGGAAATCATAAGTCACAAGGAGTGGATACTTCTGCGCCATTGAGAATGATTTTGAGCCATATCACCAATTGTTTCCAACCATTGGTTTTTACCGTCCCGACGACCCCAGCGAGGAAGTCTACACCTTCCTACGTGGCTTAGACTAACTGTTGTAGATTTCATTGACTGGTGGCATGTTTTCGTCAATCTAAAATAAAACACAGATACGTTAGCTGTGTGTTCTTTGTGGATAGCACCAAATCGGGTGTTCAGCTGTGAAGTGGTAAATACAAACGAAGTAAAACATTTTAATTTGTTTACAGTTAAGTGATTATTATCCTACATATTCGCCTCAAAACTAAGCGATAATTCAAAGGTAGAATTAGCAGATTGTTATTGGCATAATGGGGAATGATTAGAGTTAAAATGAAACCCCAGGTAATTGCTAAATTCGTATTGACGGCTTTCGCATTACTAACCCGAATCTCTGCCTGCTGAACTGTCATTACTATCATTATTACCTTGTGTTTCAAATGGGGGACATAGGGCTTCAACAACACACTTCCTTTGCATGCTGTTCTCTTTAGTTCATTCTAGCTAGCTCCACGATTGGTCATAATCTTCCGTTTCGTTCTCACAAAATCTCGTCCTTGTCACTCTCGGGCACTAAGCTGATCATTTCGCATTCGTGTGCCACCCTGTGGCCTGTCATCTGATGGTCTCTTTAGCTTGTGTCCAGTCTATATCCATTTCATTTGGCATGTTTGTTGGGCGATGTGTACTTGGTTGGTTCGCTGCACTGTCAGAGTTCCTTTTTGTTTATCCTTTCTGCCCGACCATCTGGTTTTCAGTATGCAGTGAAGGGAGCTGTTGATGAAAATGTGTTTGGAATGCTCTTCGTAATGCACCAATCCTCTGAACTGTATAGAGACACTCATTTGACATTAGTGTTGAGAATCCGAATCTTGTTCTTCATGATTAGATCCTCAGGTTTCCACACTAACTTCCGATTAATGAAACTCTGTCTTTATTCCACTACAATCGTTAAGCATTATGTCTAGGTGTTATTTCAATATTATTCTTTTAACCCGAATCGATCACACATAGTCTCATCAACAATTAACGATGTGATCTACCCTAAATTGTATGTAATTATAATTGACAGAAGAATAATTAGTCGCCAAGCTGGTGTGATGATGTTAAGTGGATGGTTGTGGAGATTTGGTTCATTGACTTAGGCACTGGGTCTCAAATCTTAGTTCCATTTCGTCTACCTTATTCTGGGCAACTGGATACTTATTATCATAAGTACTAGTGGCGTCCGTCAAGGATGCCCATTATCCCCATTCCTATTCAACTTCATCATAGACGTACTAATGGACTTAACCCTAACACACTTTAGCGACTCAGGGATTGACTTGCTACCAGGGAATAATCTCGTCGACTTAGAATATGCGGACGATGTAGTCCTTCTAGGCGAGGACGCTGACAAAATGCAGAGTTGACTGAACACCTTGAGCAACAATCTTCGTATTTTGGCATGCGATTCGCCCCTGTAAAATGTAAGATGATGCTGCAGGATTGAACTACACCGACCCCTAGATTAGAAATAGGGAGTGAAGTGATAGAGCACGTTGACCGCTTCACTTACTTGGGAAGTACCATCAGCCCCACTGGGTCGATCTCAGACGAAATCTCAGCACGTATACAGAGGGCTAGTTTCGCATATGCCAGTTTACGCCGTCTCTGGCGTAGACGCGATATCCGACTATCGACCAAAGGGCGTGTGTACTGCTCAACAGTCCGCTCCGTCCTCCTTTATGGCTGTGAGCGAGACATGGCCATTGAGAGTGGAAGACATGAAAAGATTAGCTGTGTTCGATCATAGGTGTCTGCATTCTATCTCCCGCGTGAAGTTGTATGATAAGGTGAGCAATATTGAGGTTAGGCGCCGAGTGCTAGGTAAGGAGGGGAAATCAATCGATGAGGCTGTGAAGCTACATCGACTGAGATGGTTAGGACATGTGTTATGCAAGCCTGCCTAGCCATCGCCTTCCTCGACGGGCAATGTTAGCTGACATAGGGTCACGCTGGGAAAGAGCCAGCGGCGGCCAAACCAAATCATAACTTCATCAGTCAATGAATTCCACAACAGTTAGTCTAAGCCACGTAGGAAGGTGTAGACTTCCTGGTTGGGGTCCTCGGGATGGTAAAAACCAATGGTTGGAAGCAATAGGTGACATGGCTCAAAATCGTTCTCAGTGATGGCTGGCGCAGATGCATCCATTCCTTGTGACTCATGATTTGCAATGAAACTGTTTTGTTCTTCGTTATTACTATTCCTTTGTCTCACACCTCTGTTTACTGTCCCTATTATGCATTTCTCCTACTTTCTTCTCTTGCTTTGTGTGCTACAAGAAGGGAGTGTGGCGGTTTGAACTGCCGCACATATGTGCAAAGTTCTATGTCGAAAACCGACCGACCGACCTATTATCATAAGTCCTCTAGTATCATATGTGGCTTATGACCTGGTATGTGAAAAGTCTCTTCCAGTCAAATCGACAGTCACATATCATATTCGTTTGCATTACAGTTGGACACAAGTCGTAATGTGATTACCGTGAAACAGTGACTTGGTCATGTAATATGCTTTTGGGCTAGTAATCCAGGAATCGTTGGTCGGTATCCTGTTGCAAATCAAGTTTTCATTTTGTCGTGAATCATTACTCATTACATCAATAAATGATTTGTAATTAGACTAAAGGGTGGGGAAATATCTAGAAACAACCGGTTACTTCAAAAGTTACCAGGAGAGATGACTGATAAACTTGTGGGGAATTCTAAAAGCCCACTTCAAATTGAAGTATGCCCTGCAAATATTGTACCTAGGCAGACAGTGTGAAAGCCTTGCAACTAAACCATTGGCCTCAGAGAAAGTTGTCTAGGGTTCTAGCGAGAAGTCGTGGCCAGTAGGGTCCACCAAGGCAGGTGCAACTGAGAAGATCTACTCACCGATGACATTGGCTAGTGGTCGCACTAAACTCACGAATCGGTAGAAGTTAGAATTCATGAACCATTAGATCGAGTCCCAGCGGCTGATGGTATACGAGCTTGCACTGTAACCGAAAGGTCCTGAGCTAGAACCTCGGCAGATGCATACTACTGAAGAGCTCCAAATTGGGACGAAACAGTTATCCAGTACTCCGTGCTGGTTTTCATTGGTTCTCCAGCTGATATTAATCCGTGGGCAGACTTGAAATTAATAGATCTTAAAATATTTTTTTCTGTTATCTGTTCAGTTTAAAGATGAAAAGTTTATTTGATTATCAGAAAATGTAGTAGTAATCGTTGGTTATCTGTTTTCTTCTTACCTAGGTACGCCTCTCTGAATAAGCGTTGTGAAATTAAAACGAGTGATCTACACACACACACAGATATATTTCGTTGCACATAAAAGATGAATCTTAAAGATCTTGTAAGTTATTTCGTTTTCAGTTCCATAATTTAACTGTAAAGAAAAACACAACTAATTTCCAGTTTTTTTTATTAATGTTATGAGCACATTATCAGATAGGTAATAGGTTTGAATGTGTTTCGGTGATTCATTGGTAGATTCAATGTTCTCCAACCACGCACGTTGTCTGGGTTCGACCTCCGGTGGACGCACTGCTAAATCTCGCTTGGTCGGTAGTGTTTCTGGTAAACTGGGTAAGGTTGAATGTAAGGCTGACAACACCACCCTATAAAAAAAATACACCACCGTTACTGAAAATTCAAAGGTCAAACCTGAAGTCCTGTGTTCTACCCAGGACGCAAGGAAGTGAAAGGAAAGGTTTGGATACGTTAACTCGTCTTTTAAAACTAATGTGGTTGAGTAATCGATTGAATTTCTACAGGCTTAGTGATTAAGCGCTTCAACCCACTGATTCGCTGGTTGATAGGTTTCCTGAATTTCTGATGAGAAGCTATGAACAGTGGGATTGGCCAATCCGGGTGTAGAGTCAATTAATCCCTTTTAATGGCATTCGTTTTATACTCTTAAGTAACAGAATTTGAAAATCATGAACTTCTGAATTCTGTATTTCGACTTGAACAATAGAGTGCACACTTCAAATTTTGACACTTAGATTTTATTTGCCGTGAGATTATGAGTATTTTTTTCCTTTACGTTCCTTAGTGGAACATAAGGCTTCAAGCTAGTGGCTTGAAGTTTCTGTAGCAGTGTTTATTTTACAGGATGGGGTTGCTAACCTCATGCCCAACCTTTCCTCTTCACCAGCATTATTTCTGGCTTAGCGAGGTAGAGGAGTGAGTCGGCCGGGGATCGAAACCCGGACCATGTGCATGGTCGGCGAGCGTCCTAACCGCTATGCCAGCGACGCAAGATTATGAACATGCACTACTAAAATGTTCCACACTAGTTTAAGCTGGCCGCTCAGTCCTTTTTTGTTTTATCTATTTTCGTAATTGATATTATTATGATATCGTAAGGCATTTCTTGCTCTGCGAGTGGAATATGCGGCTTCAGAAGCACATCTTCCCTGCACTCAGTTCTCTATCATCACTTTCACCTAGCTTCACCACTGCCTATATGTTCTCCACATTACCATGAGACATTCCCTACTCAAGTTCCACTCGACGGCCTAAGATGTAACCTCACTTCTTCATATGCCCAATTCATCTACATTTCCTTCGGCATGTTTGTGGAGCAACAGGGTGTTTACTGGTTCGCTAGCTGCCAGAGTTCCTTGTTGCCCATCCTTTCTAATTAGATATCTTTTCTTCAGTTGCTGATGAAATATTGAAACAGGCTGTTGGAGATGCTTTTCGTGATGCGTACAGAAGAAAGTTTGTGCGTCATACAAAAGCACTGACTTAACATTAGTATTAACAAATTTGGATCTTGTTCTCTGTGCTAAGTAGTACATCATGTCTCCATACAGATTTCAGAATAATAGATACCTGTTTTAATTCAATTTTGATTCTCTCCTTGATTGATTGGACCGAAATGTTTGACCCCCCAGGTTGACATGTCGGCTCCTTCTGTGGATGTTTCGATGATGTTTGAGGAATAAATTGAAGTAGTTTGGTGGGGGAGGGGATGAATAGCAGTAGAATTTAGGATGCGCGTTTCATCCTATTTGGGCCTCATCAGTTAGGTGTGTCTGCATTCCCTAGTAAGTGATGGTGTTTCCACTGAGACTCAAATTCAGTGCCTCTCCTTTCAAACGACACAGTATAACCTACTGGACCACGAGAACCACTTCGTGTACAACGTGTTACAGTTATTATGTATACATGTCAACAGTGTGGTTGAACATTTCTGTCAAATCATTCAACGGGAATATCAAAATTGAATTAGAAACAATTGGTGACTGACACACGTTGCACAAGAGGTGGTTCTTGTGGCCCAATTAGTCTGGTAGATAACGCTTTGCCGTTTGAAACGATGGGTATGGCCATTCTGCAGGTGAATCCAGATACATCTAGGTGACGAGTCCTAAATAGGACGAAATGAGCCTCGTGGATTCCACTGCTAGTCACGAACCATCCACCAAATAACTTTAATAGGTGCCTGCTTGTCTTACACTCTTGAACTTAGCTTTGTCTGGATTTGATTTATTACGTGTAGTATAGGGGTACGTGCGTCGGTGGCATAGCGGTTAAGACGCTCGCCGACCGTGCACATGGTTTGGGGTTCGATCGCCGGCCGACGCACCACTTTACCTCGCTAAGCCAGAAATAATGCTGGTGAAGAGGAAAGGTTGGGCATGAGGCTAGGAACCCCATCCTGTAAAATAAATACTGCTACAGGAACTTCAAGCCACAAGTTTGAAGCCCTATGTTCCACTGGGGAACGTGAAGGTCAAAAAAAAGTATAGGGGTACAAGCGTGGTTGTTAAATTGTATTTATTCAAGGAATATGAAACTAGGTGTTAGTTAGGAGGTGTGTCAATCAACAGGAGTGGTGTAGACCTTGGTTTCATGTTTTTTGTGGGGGGTGGGTGGGTTGGACAGCGTCAAAGCAAACCATGTGTCTACCACTTTCAGGAAAGTTCTGTTTCCTTTGAAATGAAAACCCCATCTGCAGAATTTCATCGGTATTTCAGACTAGTTTGGGCATAAAAATCAATTAATTTTATTTCGTAGTCTACCATCGGTTTCAAACAAAAAATGCATAGAATTTTTAGTGACTATTACATTTGTGCAGTTAATAGGTGGTGACGTAATCTTCGTTTTGTTGTTGTAGGTGAAAACAAAGGCCATATTTTATATCACACTCTACTTAGTCACAAGAGAAAGGAAATTCAATTATTATTTTAGGAGTTAGTGATTCATTGACATTAATTCTACCTAATCAATAGACTGTCTCAAACTACACACACACACCCATTTTTATGTGAAATAATTTATTGACCTGTGTGTTTCCAACTATAATGCTTTTTTGCCGATACAATTACTTGGTAATTATAGTTATTAAATGTAACTATCTCTTCGGCTTAACCAATATTGCCTGGAAGTTCCCTCCTAAATTACACCTAGTTAAGAACAAACAATCTATTCAATTTACTTGACTAATTGACATCAGTTAGAGAACCTTTGAAAACTGGGGAGTACTGGACAAACCCCTCATCAACATGTACGCCGCATGACCTTACCGGGGAATGAACATAGAACCCTCAGGGTTATTTGGCCCCACCCCAGTGGTTGAATAGTCAATGGATTCTATTCGTGACGTGAAGGTCCTATGTCGGATGGATCTCTTGTGTGGGGCTAGCACATTCCAACCTATCTGGAGGACGTCAGCAGTATTTGACTACATTCCAGAGAATGATGGTGTTCACATTTAAACTTGAACCAAATAACCAAACATCGTGTCGAGTCACTTTGCTGCTAAGATACAAGGACCACCTCTTGTGCGTCGGTGGCACAGCGGTTAGGACTCTCGCCGACCATGTATATGGTCCGGGGTTCGATCCCCTACCGACGTACACCCGATATCAATGGTCGGCTTGCAAAATTTGGGCTACCGATATCATATGCTGAAAATTCCATACTTGACAACCAGTAGTGTCCGTCAGGGCTTCCCACTGTCCTCATCATTGGCTTATTTCAGTGTAGTTGTAATAGTGGAATTGACTCTAGCAGCTTAGGGATTGACTCGGTAGTAGTGGACAGTTTAGGTGACCTAGAGTACGCGGATGATATATAGTCCTCCTAGATAAAGACTCTGATAACACACACAGAGTCTTCTGAACACCTTAAACAGAAATCTTCGTGTATTTGACATGCGATTCAATCCTGTCAAATGTAAGGTGGTGCTGAAAGACTATACTGCATTGGCTTCCCCCCAGCTGGAGTGGCAGAGCATGTTGATTACTTCACTTATTCCGGAAGCTGCATTCACCCCAATGGAATGATTATTGACTAGATTTCAGCACGGATGCAAAAGGCTCTTGTGGGATTTACCAACTTACATCATCGGGAAGGCGAGAAACACATTCATCAACCTGAAATCAATCTGGAAATCTTCATCACTCAGCCTGCATCAACAACAAAATGATTCGGATTTTCAATACAAACGTCAAGTCAGTCAGTTCTTCTATACGGATCAGAAGAAATCGGGAGGGTCACAAAGAATATTTCCAACAGCCTGTTGCAAACCTTTATCAACAACTGTCTTCGTTCTATACTGAAGATCAGATGGCCGGAAAGAATCACCAACAAGAAACTATGGGAACAAACAAAACAAGAACCAATCACCCAACAAATATGCAGGATAAAGTGGAGATGGATTGGACACTCGCTGAGGAGGCCGCTGAGTGACATCGCGCGTCAGGCCATTGCTCGAGTGGAACCCGGACGGGAAGCGGCGAGTGGGACGTCAGTGCAAGGGTGACATGGAGGAGATCGTGTGAAGAGGAGTTGAAACAGTATGGACTAACATGGATGCAGGTGAAAAGTACAGCAGAAGACAGAAGCAAGTGGAGGCGTGTAGTTGAAGCCCTATGTTCCACTAGGAAACCAAAGAAACAACAACACCATCTGTGCCACATACGTTATATCCGGCTACTCATCAAAGGACGTGTGTGCTGCGCAGCAGTTCTCTGTGTTCTTTTTCATGGATATGAGACATGACCATTGAAATTGGATGATTATGAAAAGGCTAGTTGTCTTTGATCATAGGTGTTTGCGTTCTTTCTCCTGTGTTAAGTGGTTTACTATGATGAGCAATGTTGAGTGTCAGGCGTCGAGTGCAAGGTAAGGAGGGCAAATCAATCGATAAGGTTGTAAATCTTCATCGATTAAGAAGAGATGGCTAGGACAAGTGTTGCGCTTGCCTAACCGTTACCTTTTGTCGATGAGCAATGTTAACCAATATAGGATTATACTGGAAAAGAGTTAAGGATGGTCAAACTAAAACTGGCATAAGTCCATGAAGTCTTTGACAATTGGTTTAAGCCAACCAAGTAGGGAGGTGTAGATTGCCTGGTTGTGTCTCTTGGCATCCTAAGAATCAATCTGCTGGAAACTGTTGATGATATGGCTCAAAATCCTCGTTGTCAATGGCCCTAAATTCCATACACATATAAATTTAATAGTAGGTGGATTCCAATTCATTTTTGAGTTAGAAAATGAATAGGATGACTTAACTATGCTAGATTGTAAAATCCGAGGAGAACAGGATTGTGGTTTAGATACCCTAACAATTACAGAAAACCGACACACATTCTAATAAATACTTAGACTTTAGTTCATCCTATTTAGAATCGGTAAAGGTATGTTTAATTAAATGTGTATCCAATCAGTGCAGGAGCGTATTTAGCAAATCAGAAGGTTTAAATGATAAAATCAAACAAATAAAGAAAATGGAGGATTTCGTCATGAGCTGACATCAGTTAGAGAATCACTGGAAAACCTGGGACTCTTCAAAAGCTCAAATTCACCGGGATTCGAACCCCAGGACCTTCTGATTACAAGGCGAGCTCGTAGACCATTGAGCCACTGGGACCCGATCCAATGGCCAGCCCATGAATTCTAACTTCTACCGATTCACGGCATAGCGCGACCATTTAGCAATGTCTTCTTCGGTGAGTTACTGCCTCATCTTCAACCTGCTGTACCCTACTGGTCACGGGTTCCCACTAGAACCACAGGTTAACTGTCTGAACAGGGCCAGTCACTAGTGAGCATCAGATTAATTTTCAAGTATTGGTTTTGCAAGGATGCGCACTGATGAAGAGTCCCAAACTAGGACGAAACAGCTGTCCAGTACTCCCAGGTTTTCCAGTAGTTCTCTAACTGATGTCAGCTCATGATGAAATCCTCCATTCACTCAAACAAAATTCCTGCAAAACCAATAGTTGAAAATAAAGAAAATATTACTAATGAATAACTGCCCGTCAGATTTTATTCAAAAATGTAGAAAGACGCATAAAGAAAATAAAAGTAGTAATATGAATAGTGCGAAACTTAAAGCCTATATAGTAATGTCATATAAAGAAGGAACATGAGAATCTCTACGTAGGATTTCTATGGGTGGTGTTTAAATCAATCAACCCACTTAGAGATAAACTCTGTCAGCCTAGGGACGCGATATAACCAATTAGGAAAGATAATATCATTTACCCAATACCTTGTGATGACTGTGAGGTCAATTACATAGGCCAGTGAAACTAGTAGATCAGAGTCAATTAGATTGTCCGAAGATAGGAATTTAGGTAGACCTAAAATGGTTGACCCTATTAAGTTAAATAACCTAGAAAAAGCAGAGCTCAGCTACTGCACTGCGTTTCACTTACATGTAATTACAAAATAGGTTGTGTGGGACAGGGTGAGAGTATTAAGAAGTATTACAGTTAGGTGGACAGAGAGAAGCTTAGTTTATCAACTGAAGACGGCACATCTGCAATCGAAATGACCCAACGCCTATATCTAATGTATAGAGAACTGCAATAAACAACGAAGGGGATATAAAGCCGTATGAACACATTGATATTGTAACGACAGAAGACAAAGGCCAGGCAGTAGATCGTTTATTGAGAAAAACATCAGATATTTATAGATTTTTGTGTACATTAGTACTCGTTATCGTTAGCAGAGAAGCAACCTCTTCTGACTGGTTGTTTTTTTCGCTGAAGGTTATTCTATCATCTCTTTGTGACCGTCTCTTAGAAAGTCAGGCCATATATCTGCGAATTGGATTTGCACACGTTAAGTTTTCTATGATTGGTTAGTGAGTTCCTCAAGGATAAGCTTTGTTATTGTTTTTTCTCATGACTCCGCGATTCGGAACGTGAACATTGACGTAAATTGTTGCCTACAATTTCGGCTAGCAGGCAGCCCTCACCACAATATGATTATAGGCAATAAATTATTCTCGAAACGCCATTCAGTGGCAAGAGTAAACAACAGACACCAATGTCAGATGACCTTGATTTGACCAATCAGATAGCTCAGCATTACAAATGGTTGCTAGTCGTAATCCTTTTCGTAAATGTCTCCCAGATTTGGTTTTTGACTTCTCTGTGGAAAATGTGTTGATAGGGAGGAATAAAACATGCAAATGTGGAGGGATGCTGCAAAAGTATTGCCGGGCTTCTGATGGTTACACATTCAAATGCAACCACTTTATATGAGGAAGTCTGTATAAGTTTGTAAGTCCGACGTAATTGGTGATTTTTTTAGACACTTCTCGAAATCAAAGCTCTCCCTTGGTAATATATTGCGTATATGCAACCAGTATCTGGTACAGGTGAACATATACAAGACGGAGGTTATGAAAATAACCAACCAACAACAACAACAACATCCACCGACAATCACCATCAACGGGAGAGATTTGGAAGAGATTACTTCATTCACTTATCTAGGGAGCATTGTCTCAACTACAGGAGGAACGGACGAGGATGTCAAATCGACAATCGGGAAGGCGAGAAACACATTCATCAACCTGAAACCAATCTGGAAATCTTCGTCACTCCTCAGCATCAACAAATTTCGGATTTTCAATACAAACGTCAGTCAAGTCAGTTCTTCTATACGGATGGATCAGAAACTTAGCGGCGGGTCACAAAGAATATATCCAACAGCCTGTTGCAGACCTTTATCAACAACTCTCTTCGCTGGCTCTATACTGAAGATCAGATGGCCGGAAAGAATCACAAACAAGAAGCTATGGGAACAAACAAAACAAGAACCAATCGCTTAACAAATATGCAGGATAAAGTGGAGATGGATTGGACACTCGCTGAGGAGGCCGCTGAGTGACATCGCGCGTCAGGCCATCGCTCGAGTGGAACTCGGACGGGAAGCGGCGAGTGGGACGTCAGTGCAAGGGTGACATGGAGGAGATCGTGTGAAGAGGAGTTGAAACAGTATGGACTAACATGGATGCAGGTGAAAAGTACAGCAGAAGACAGAAGCAAGTGGAGGCGTGTAGTTGAAGCCCTATGTTCCACTAGGAACCCAAGGGAGCAATAATAATAATCTGCTACAGCTGGAGAAATAAAGAATACATTGGTTTGATATGTCTGCAACCATTTCTATGCGAATCTGGGATCAGTTTTTGCAGCACATTAGATATATATACCCTATATGATTCATTTCTATCACATATATATGTATATATATCGTAGATACACTTCTTTGTAAATTAAGTACCACTTTTCACCTAGGAGAATCTGATTGGTCAAATCAAGGTCATTTGACTTTGGTGTCTATTGTTTACTCTTGCCCATTCAGTTATTACTACTGAATCACTGTGTGTGTTTTTGATTCAATAATAATATGGAATTATATTCCACCACAGTGCTGAAATTGTAGAATTACACGATGTCTGCTGGTTTTTAAACTTCAAACTATCGTCGAAGCGTTATGCACTAAGTAAGAGCTGACAGTATTAACATTATCGAGTGATTTATTCCTAAAAAAAATCATCTAATGTTGCTTCTAATCCCTTTTTTGTTTTCAGCCTCCAGATGAACGTATGAAAATTGCCACCCTATTAGCTGAGAAGGAGTAAGTTTTCAGTTGAAATTTTTAATGAAAAACCTTATAGTAGTGTCAAGGATAATTCATGGATGTATGAAAAACCAAAAGAGAATCCAGAAGCATTTCTGTTGGGCAAACAAGTGAAAAGTTTAGATGAAATTCAAGAAATTAGTAAAGGTAGGTTTGAAAAAAATAATAAAGAATCATAATATATATATCTCCTCATAAGCTGTGTCTCTTAATTCGTGCGGGTGACTCTGTGTATTGGGTCATTTCTGTGTCCACAGGATTACTTGCGTCTCATGACGTCAGCACTTATTGAGTGTAGTCATCATGAAACATTGGCTTCGGTGGCTTGGATATATACGCTGCGAATGTTATCCCCGAAGCTTCTGTACCAGTTGGTTGTTGTCCACTTACCCTAGGACTAGATGGAAAAAGGGGAGAGATGGTCAACCCATGTAGTGGCATCGTGGGATAAGGATACTTGTTGTTAAGTTAGCATCGGTTAGAGTACATCACGAGTCCCTAGTTCTGTAACCTGAGAGTTAGTTCGAATCACTGAATGTGAACGTGATCACATGTGGTCAAGAATCGCTATCAATGGCGAACATGCTGCAATTTCCTGCTTTCTTTCCTTCTTGAAAGTTAAATGAAGTGATGAGTGATGAACTATCTTCACAGTTATGCTTGCTTGCCTTTTCTTCAATGGTGTGGGTAGCCGGGAAGTAACGAACGTCCACACACTCACAAAAGCATACGAAGCCCTGCTGATCATCATCCTTTATCCCTGTCACCCTCATCAGCCTGCTTCCCTACTACCGTTAGTACTATTCTGAAGTCTATTCAGTCATCTTCATTTAATTCTGTGACTACGAATAACGTTGAGAGCTAATAAAGCACCCCCGATAGCCTCTTACAGCCACGCTGCCAACTTCGTATTGGAGCATTTGACATCAGGACCCTCTGCCAAGTCGGACAACAGGCATCACTAGCCAGAGCTCTGGCATCTTGAGCCATGGATGCATGTTGTGTCTCGAAGACATGCATACAGGACCCGAGTGTGGTTATTCACTTAACACCACCCAGCCAACACGGGTGTCAGGAGACTCCTTAGCTAGTTCGCGAGGACTCACAGGTGTAGGGATAGCATTGAGTATTAGGGTAGAAAAATCTATTCTTGACTCGAGTCCAGTAGATAGTCGTGTGTGTGTGCAGTCCATCTGAATGGGTCTATTAGAAAAAGGATGGACGGCGTTATCCGTCTCTGGCTTTTCACAGTCTTCGCTTGGCTTTTGGATGACGTCCATCACTCATTCTACCTCGCATGTTCTTTACACATTGTTATTTTATTATTGGTTTCTGGCACATCTCTTGGTGCTCATCGTGTGTTTTCAATAATAATAAATAATAATAATCTCTTCATATAAATAATTATTAGATTATGAAGAGTCCCCAGCTCAACGATTGGCTAGATTCGATATGGAGGCGAAATTCCGTGAAGATCCCTTAACAATTATGAAGTAAGAGTAAAATTTGAGTGTCTCTCTAATTTTCATTCCCCATTTTTCTCTAAATCATCAAATAGACAAAGAGAAGCGGAAAAACGCATGGAATTGTTACATAACACAGCTAAGGTGAAAAAGTTAAGGAGACTTGTAAGTTTATTGTCTGTTTTTGGTTTTTTCACCACTTTGTTTTCCATTTCCTCCTTTTCACACATTTTCTTCTCCATGTCAGCCTTGGACACCCCGATTCTCACCTGTCCATCTCATATTCAGGTTCCACTCGAAAGCCTGTCTGTCTGCCTGCCTGGCTTGTTATGTCATTTAGCAGTCTCGTCAGTGTATGTCCATTTCATCTCCATTTCCTTTGGCATATTTATTGTGGGATAAGTCCTTAGTTGTTTCATTGTTTGAGTTCCTTGTTGTTTATCCTTTTTGAACGGTTATCTGGTCTTCATTGTGATGCATGGTAGTGGTGTGTGTGTGTGTGTGTGTGTTGATGATGATGATGATATTGTACAGCAGGCTGTTGAATACGCTTTTGATGACACATAAACCAAGTCTCTGGATTATAAGGAAGCACTGACTAGCTTGACATTAGTGTTGAAGATTGAAATCTGCTTTCTGATGCATGGTGCTATTGATTTCCCCACTGATTTCAGTTTTTAATGAATTTCTGTCTTGCTTTTCCGAACCAGAATATGCCGATGATATAGTCTTGTCTCCTAAGTGAAGACACTGACAAAATCCAGTCTTCTGAACACCTTGAACAGAAATCTTCGAGTGTTTGATATGGGATTCGCTCCTGTCAGATGTAAGATGATGTTGAAGGACTATACTGGATTGGCCCCCACCCCAGCTTAAAGATAGAGAATCAAGTAGTGGCTGGTGTTGATCACTTCACTTATTTGGAAAGTTGCATCAGCCATAATGAATCAATTGCTGACGAAATCTCAGGGCGGATACACAATACTCGTGTGGTTTTGCCAACTTACGGTGTAGACGTGATACCCAGCTATCGACCAAAGGCCATGTGTACTTCTCAGTAGTTCGATCCATCCTCCTTTATGGCTGGCTGTGAGACATGACCATCTAAAGTGGAAAATACGGAAAGACTAGCAGTGTTTGATCACAGATGCCTGCATTCTATCTCTCTTGTTAGGCGGTTGTATAAAAGGTTAGGTATCAGTCGACTGCTAGGTACGGAGGAGAAATCAATCGATGAGGTGGTTAGGACATGTGTTACACATGTCTAGCTATCGCTCGCCTTCCCCGATGGGCAATGGTAACTGACATAAAATGGATCAGGTTGGGAAAGATCTAGTGGTGGTCAAACGAAAACATGGTTACATCAGCCAGTGAAACCCACAACAGTTAGTTTAAGTCGGCCACGTAGAGAAGTGCAGGCTTCCTGACTAGTTGGGGTCCTCGGGATGGGAAAAACAATGAATGCTGGAGACAATCGGTGATATGGCTCAAAGTCCTCGTTGTCGATGGCTGATGCAGATACATTCATTCTTTGTAATTTATAATATTCAATAAAACTCAGTTGTTCTTCCATAGTACTATTCTTTTCTCCTCATCTTTCTATTTGTTATCTCTCTCTCTCTTGATGTGGTTGTGTTCTCTGAGCTGGATGGTTTGGTTGCGAAGCTTTCATTGCTCTACTGAGCAACATCTTCAGCGCATACTTCAATGTGAAGTGAGCTTTTAGAATTCTCTATGAGTTTATTAGTCATCTCGTCTAGTAACCTTGAACGTGATTGGTTGTTTTCGTGTGACATTTCATCCCCTAGTTTGCTTGTCTCGGTGCTGGCTGCTTCTTTGGTCTGAATGTCGTTAGTCATTCCTTCTGCTAACCTTGAACGTGATTGGTTGTTTTTGTGTGACTTCTCACTTTCTAGTTCACTTGTTTTGGTGTTGACTGTTTCCTCGACCTGAAGTTTGACTTTGTTTTTGTGTGAATTTCTTCGTATGGATTGGTATATTTTGTCAATCTCTATGTGTCTATTGATTGCTGATTCATGATTGACAAAATATACCAATCCATACGAAGAAATTCACACAAAAACAAAGTCAAACTTCAGGTCAAGGAAACAGTCAACACCAAAACAAGTGAACTAGAAAGTGAGAAGTCACACAAAAACAACCAATCACGTTCAAGGTTAGCAGAAGGAATGACTAACGACATTCAGACCAAAGAAGCAGCCAGCACCGAGACAAGCAAACTAGGGGATGAAATGTCACACGAAAACAACCAATCACGTTCAAGGTTACTAGACGAGATGACTAATAAACTCATAGAGAATTCTAAAAGCTCACTTCACATTGAAGTATGCGCTGAAGATGTTGCTCAGTAGAGCAATGAAAGCTTCGCAACCAAACCATCCAGCTCAGAGAACACAACCACATCAAAATCATCCACCTGAGCTACAAATCTTCTCTATTATATCTATCTCTCTCTGTTTTGAATATCTCTCTTTAATGTCTTCTTTTGCTTTGTGTGCTACAAGGAGCGAGTATGGCAACTGGAAATGCTTCACATCTGTGCAAAGTTTTACGTTGAAACCAGTCATTTCCCGATCCTGCCTTTGATATCCTTATCTATGCTACTTCTAGTTGAAACGATGTTGCTTAGGAAAGTGAAGAAGGTGACTTCCTTAAGATATGTTCTATTCATAGTGACTGGTGGTTGTTGTTGTTGCTGTTCAGGTGATTCCACAATTTCTCTCTTCTCTATATTCATCCCTTGAAGTCCTATCTTAGCTGCTTTTTTCTGCCAACTTATTGTTTGTGGAAATCAGTTTCTCCACCCAAATTTTTAGAGATATTCCGTGGGATTGAGGACTATTTTATTCAAAATATAGAATACTTGAAGGTAGTACTAGTCAGCTGTTTCGTCCTAATTTGGTACGCTGCATACAAGTGTGCATGCTCTTAACCCGACCATGGATGGAGCTCATGAGTAGTGACAGGCTGGGAATAAAGGTCCTCAACACATGACAATTATATGAATTTCAATGTAATGGGGATCATAGGACCATCTATGAGTATCTGAAGTACTACTGTGGTGAGAGCTGTCTGCTAGCCGAAATTGGTAGACAGCAGTTTACGTTCTATATCTTGATCATGAGAAAACAAACAAGAACGAAGACTAACTCAACAACCAATCACAGCAGACGTAGCGTGGGTGGATATGATTAGCAGATATGTTGTCAGGCAACAGATCGTTTATTGAGAAAATCAACAGATATTCACAGATCTTTATGTACATTATTATTCGATATTGTTAGCAGGGAAGTGGCGTCTTCTGATTGGCTGTCTCCCTGCTGACGGTTATTCTGTCATCTCTTTGTTGCCGTCTCTTAGACAGTCCGTTGATATACATATATATATATATATCTGCTAATCGTATCCGCCCACGCTAAGTTTGCCGTGATTGGTTGTTGAGCTAGTCTTTGTTCTTGTTTGTTTTCTCATGACCAAGATATAGAACGTAACTTGCTGTCTACCAATTTCGGCTAACAGACAACTCTCACCACAGTAAGGACTTCTGTGGATTTTTTTAAATCAATATCTCTAAACAAAGTGGTGAAGAAAGAGGTTGAGCAAAGAGAATATTCTTTTCGATAACCACCCTGTTCTGGCTCTACAGTTAGATGGCTGGCTGGCTGGATTCAACATAGAACTTGGCACCGAAGTGCAGCAGTTCCAGTTGCCACGTTCCAAAGAGCACACAAAGGTAGACAAGAAAATGAGAGTGAAGAGAATCAGTGGAGTTTTGACAAGTATAAGAGTGAAACAGAATGAGTAATGGTAGGAAGGAATATGGAAGATTACAGAGACTGAATACATCTGCGTAAGTCATTGACAACAATTTTGAGCCATGTCACCTATTGTCTCTCCGGCTGTTGATTCTTAGAGTCCCGAGGGCGGGCCCCAACCCGGAAGTCTGCATCTCCCTACCTGACTCAGTTTAACTGTCAGGGATTTCATGGATTGATGAGGCCATGTTTTTGTCTTGCCACCACTTACTCTTTTCCAACCTGCACGTATATCAGCTAGTAATTCCCGTCGGGGAAAGAAAAATGACTGCAGATAACTGGATGAACGCAAAGGAACAACATTGATAAAACAGTGTTATTTGGTAAATACTTAGTGTGAAAGGGAAATTGTCAGAATTTTTTCCAGTCAAGTAATAATAGCCCAAGGTAAGGAAGTCGTCTATATGAACTTTCTCTGAGCACATAGGTGTAGTTTTTTCAGGTGAATTCTAACGTCATCAGTTAATAGACGAACTCTCAAGGAAAATAATTAACATTAGCCTTCAGATTATGGTAGATGACTTAAAACAGAAGGCCTTCCTTATTAATATTGACTTCATGTTGTCAGCATCTACAATGGTGTGAGCTAAATTATTTTTGTTTTTCTCTTTCTTTGTTTTTGGTTTTCAAATTAGTTAACAGAACAAAAATTACGTAAAGAGAAACAGAAAGCAATACGTAAACATGCCAAACACAAAAAGAAACACAAACGTCAAAAACGCTCCAGAACGTCATCGAAATCAGATAATAAAAGTAGAAGTCGAAGTAGAAGCAGTAGCAGTAGTACTAGTTCAGATGATGAACTATTAAATAAATTTATTAAAATTATTCGTCAATCAGATAAATTAGAAAGTGAACAGACTGTTGGTGATGATGATGATGATAAGCCTCCGTGTCAAACACCGCCTCCACAATCACCTCCATCATATAAACAATCATCCAGTTACCATGGTAACCGTGGTCATCATCATCATCAGCAACAGCAGCATCCTCATCCTTCACGACGTGAACAGAATAATTATTCCTCCAGACAGCATACATATTCTTCGAAAAGACATGATCGTGCTGATGAGTCAGATATATCGAGACCAAGATTACATAATAATAGTAATAATAATAATAACGATAAAAAGCCGGATCACTTCAAATCGTCATCATCGACATCCTCAGCGGCAGCAGCAGCAACAACATCCAACCGATCAAAGTTATCGAAAGAAGAAATTGAAGCCAAGCGTTTACAAATGATGCTTGATGCTAAAGAACACGAGAAAGAGCGTATTCATCGAGCCACAAAACACTATGAAAGAAAGAGAGTTGAAGAAGAAAATGAAATGGTGACAAAATTTTCACATGGACCATCATTTATTGGCCAGCTGAAAAATCGACATGTTGATTTGACTACTGTGGAAGAAAGTGTACATCGTAAAGCCAGTAGTCGTCAACGTGGTGATTTACATGATAATTTTTTAAAACGTTAAAGTTGTAAATTACTTTAAACTGTATATATTATAATTATTTATAATTGTATAGATGATGTATTTTGTATGATTGAATCTTAATTATAAGTATTCACAACATACTCCTTGAGTTTTGAGTATCATATACTACTTCAATAGAAAATTGCTGTTGTGTTTGATTCTCTTCCATCCCTTTGATCATCTTGTTCGTCAAATTCCAACAAGTTTTAAAAATTTGGCTTCATATGATCTCTTACATGTCATCCTTGAACCCTCGCGTTCATTGCCTCTGCTAGATAAGCACCATTCACTGCCTTCAAGTGGCAGAGGTATCGTTCAAATAAACGAAAGCGTGAATTAAAAAAACGTCTGGCGCTTACAACCGGACTGTTAGACATTCTGGTGTACTCTGCCTAGGGAAGCTGGAACACGCTGATTTCAAATCTCCTATGGTAAACATAGATTGAAGAATCCTGATGGATCGAATGGTGTATGAAGCTGTTCTAGTCACTGGAATCCATGGGAACGTAGCTCCACTATCTTGTGGATCGCCACTGAAGTCAAAAGCTTAGGGAATGTTAGAGTATTTTACTTTAAATATCACACAGCGATTCAGTATTAGTAACTTGGATGACGTTTCGAGCACAATTTATTGCTCATAATCATACGAAGGTACTCACACAACTTGCTTGCTTCGTTCCCTTCAGATAACCACCTGCCCGCGGTGTGGACACTATCTCAGCTTCTAAACAAACTATGAGATTGTGTGTGTGTGTGTGTATGGCGTATCTCTTGGTGCCTGTAAGGTACTAAATCACTCTCGGACTCATGACCAACCTGTCAATTCCCTCTCAAGGGCCTAGTGTCTGATGTCACTACCGGGTATGTTCAATCAATTTCCTCCTACCTATTTGTTGGGGAATAGGTTATTGGCTGGTTCACTGACTGCTAGAGTCCCTTGTTGCGCTTGTCTGTTCTTTCTAGCTTTCCACCTCTCATGTTCAATAGTGTTCTAATATACTCAGACACATGGCATTCATCCATGACGTTTTTAACGGTGGGGATTTGAATTAATAATGTGGTGTAGATTGTTTGGCTCTGGTTTCTGTAATACTTAAAATCATTGTTAGTAAGGTGATTTTTTAAAAATCGTCCTCAATGGCGCTGATTTTATCCGCATTCTGAAACTTCTCACTGATCCTAATTAAATTATAATTCTTCCTGGTGTACTCTTTTTTTCTCTGTGACAGTCTCATTAAATTTCATCCGAATCGTGTTAATTTAAAGTTGGTTTTGAGAATGGATCTTCTACGTAGTTTCCCACAGGGTGAAGTTATTATTATTATTATTATTGAAACACGCACCAAGAAGTGAGCCACACAAAGTTCTGTAGTTTGTGCTGAGGCTGGGACACTGCTTGGATGCTCAGACCGGAGTAGGTGGTTGTCTTAAGGGGACACCAACGAGTCACTGACGTGTAGTGTTGAACAGCATCAGTAGATACATTCCAATGGTTTCCGGTGAGCAAAACAAGTTCATACGCCACTTGGTCCGTTCAGATTCTGGAGTTCATGTGCACCACGTTGATTCGGGATCAGGGTTTTTCATTTCTCCTGGATGGATGACCACTCCGGCTGTAAGATCCAGACGTGTTCGAATTCGCCCCTCCTCACTTTGACGAGGAACACCCTCCCACGTAGTGAATAGGACTTACCTCACCGAGGCTATGAACGTGTGACCACATGAGAACATTTGGAGAGGAAGACTGAAGTCTAGACATCCTCGACTGTATCAAGTTGTGTATGGTGGAGTGTTATTTGAACTCCGGACTTATTGGATAGAAGTTCAACGCCTATTTCAGCGAATCAAATCGACTCATTCACTGGTGTCGATTCACTTCATTTCACATTGAAACATGTATTATTAGAACTATTCCCTTGGGTTCCGAGTGGAACATAGGGCTTCAACAACGCATCTCCACTTTGTTCTATTCCCTGCCGTCATCTACAGCTGACCAGCTACCTGAATGCCTGTAATCTCTCACTTCTCCTCCAATGATCTCTTCCATGTCACCTCTGCACAAATGACCCATTCGTCGCTTCCCATTTGGATTCCACTCGATCAATTGCCTTGCTGACGTGCGATATCATGTAACAGTTTCCTCACATGTATGACCGATCCATCTCCATTTTCTCCTACATATTTGTTGAGCAGTCGGCTCTCGCCTGTTGGTTTGTTTCTGGTCAGAGTTTCTTGTTACTGATTCTTTCTAGTCATTTGATCTTCAGTATGGAGAAAAGGCAGCTGTTGTTAAAAGTCTACAACCTGTTGGGAATGCTTTGCGTGACATGCAGTACAAGTTTCTGGCCCGTATTAAAGTGCTGAATGACTGACTTCACATTTGTGTTGAATAGAATCCGAATCTTTTTATTGATGCTGGCTTCTAAGTGCAGAAGATTTGCAAACTGGTTTCAGGTTGATGAAGGCGTATCTTGGCTTGCTAAATCTGGCCAGCTTTGATATCTTCATGCGTTCCGCTAGCCTGTAGTTGAAACGATGCTTCCTAGGGGGATAATTGGAGGAAGTAACCTGTGTCAAATTTCTCTCTTTGCTGGTTTTTGTTACTGTTGGCTGGTTGATTATCTTCATCACGTCTTCTTCGATGGTGAATGTTATCTTCAACTTTTTTTTCTGATGGTTACAGTGGTGTTGTTTGTAGTTTCATCCTTTTAATTCTGAGCATTGAACTTTAGTTACGGTCTACTAATTTGATCTCGAAAGATCTTTGCCCATATCTGTTTCTGTTTTCAATATAATATCCAGCAGGCTACGTTTCCATTATATTGAGTTTGTCTGATTTTTGGTGTGTAATTCAGGTGAAATCCATGTTGCTTTGTGTATATTATTGTGCGCTTTCTCCAACTACCGAATCATTGAAAGCGCGAAAGTGTGCAAAGATTTCTCCGTTACCCCATTCATTTCGCCTAACAGGAGACTGTCGACTTATGATGAGTTCTCTTCCTGTATTGTCTGCTCCCAGTTTGGCATTCATATCGCCTTTTAGGATTTTGATAGCGACATTTGGTGTCTTGTCCATTGCTGTTCGCACTTGTCCGTAGGAATCCCCCTACTTCCCTTGTTCTGCGTTTTTTTTGTAGCATTGGATGATTTTAACCTTCCTTACTTTTCATTTGAATCTTTCTATCATTACCCTGAAAGGGATTGGTTCCCACTGCATAAGAGCTTTTGATGCTGTTGACAACATCTTGAGTTGCTAGTCCCATGCGTAACCTTCCCTCGTTTTCCTAACTTAGAACCAGCTGGTGAATTAGTAAACTTTGCGAGGGTTATTATTTACGTATACTTCATGTTATTATAATTGAAATTCCACTTGTCTAGTTGTCTCAAATGAATCGTAGTACTGCTCTCTTTTACAAATTAGTGGTGCTACTTATCCGTTGAGAAATTAGCAAAGCTTCGTAAATCATATTGAATTAAGAAGTTATTTGTGAATTCCTAATTCTGTGACTATAAGAACGATTTGTTGTCTAATTGATGAGTTCAAGGTCAAAAAGGTTCTGTAACTTCGATATCACGTGAGAGAAAGTTATACTTAGTGAGGTATCAGTGAATTCTTCGTTTGTTATAATTCTTAATCAATAAGATACTTCTTTCTTTCTCTCTCTTTTCCCTTTGTTGTTTGTCGCCGCTTTCCATATCTCCGGTATAGGCGTTGCGTCATTCTGATTACACGTGTGCAGTGTTCAGTCGATAAACTAAGCTTTAGGGACTCACACAAAAAACTTCGAGGATCTGGACTTCGCCGATGATATGTGTCTGATTTCCCACAAACTGGAAGATATGCAAGCGAAAAGCAACAAGTTGGCAGAAGAAGCATCAATGATAGGACTTCAGGTTAACATAGAGAAAACGGAGGTAATGAAGATTCCTGGACAAGAACAACAACAACAGACAACGATCAGCATAAATGGGAAGAACCTGAAAGAAACAACCTCTTTTACCTACCTACCTGGGAAGCACCGTTTCAACTACAGGCGGACAGAACTGACGAGGATATCAAAGCAAGAATCGGAAAAGCAAGACAAGCTTTCACTACTCTCAAGTCTGTGTGGAGGTCAACAGCACTCAGCATTAAAATGAAAATAAGATCCGGATTTTCAACTCCAATGTGAAGTCAGTCCTACTATACGGATCACAGACTTGGCGCGTCATAAAGAGCACATCAAACAAACTACAGACCTTCATTAACAGTTGTCTTCGCTCAATACTCAAGATCAGATGACTGGCCAGAAAAGATCAGCAACAGGGACCTCTGAGAGCAAACCAACCAGGAACCGATTGTGAAACAAATAGTCAGGAAGAAATGGAGATGGATTGGCTGGCCATACTCTGAGGAAACCATCAAGTAACATCACTAGACAAGCCATTGCTCGAGTGGAACCCTACCGGATGGGAAGCGGCGAGTTGGTCGTCAGTGCGAGGGTGGGTGACTTGGAGGAGGTCATGTGAAGAGGAGATGAAAACGTGTGGGCAGACTTGGATCCCGGTGAAGACTCTAGCAGAGAACCGAACGCAATGGAGACGCACGGCTGTTCCTCTAGGAATTAAAGGAAACAATAATAATAATTAGAGACTAACCTCTCTATGTCCACCTAACTGTATTACTTCTTAATACTCTCACCCTTTCCCACACAACCTATTTTGTGATTACATGTTAGTGAAACGCAGTGCAGTAGCTGAACTCTGCTTTTTCTGGGTTATTTAACTTAACAGGGTCAACCATTCTAGGTCTACCTAAATTCCTATCTTCCGAGAACCTAATTGACCCTGTCATAGATAAGATTTTATTTTGATAAGTCACACAGTTTATACATAATATTAACTGATGACGTTTCGAGCACAAACTATTGCTCATAATCATATCAAGTTACTCACAACTATAAATGAAGGAAAAAGTTTTGTGAGTAACTTGATATGATTATGAGCAATAGTTTGTGCTC